ATTGAACCCACTCCTGTGGCTCCCAGCTAAACAAAAGATAGGCATATGAGCTGAACATTTACAATAGATAGATACACTCCTTGGAGAGATTAATCATGAGAGAATAGAAGGGCTGTGTATGCACAGGGAGACAGCTCAAGGGGCAGGAGTCCATAGGAGGGAAGGACATAGGGAAGAGGTAACTATAGGGAGGGAATGGGAAGGGGGAGAGGAGCTGTTGCATTGTGGTAAATTGTAGTCAATGTCATTAGATAAAGTGTATGTAAGCTGCTGTATGGAAAGTGAACTTGCTCTGTAAACTTTCACCCAAATCACAATAAAAATTTTTTAAAAAAATCAAATATCATATTGTACTGGGCAAATCTGCTGCAAAACACCTCTTTTAAGTGTTAAAAATGTCACTTTGAAGATTAAAGTTCACCTGACCCAATTCATGGTATTTTTCAATAAGCTCATGTGTATGTGAAAGCTGTGTATTGAATAAGGAAGACTGAAGAAGAGTTGGTGCCTTTGAATTGTGTTGATGGTGAAGAATACTGAAAATTCCATGGACTGCCACAAGAAGGAACAAATTTGCCCTAGAAGTGCAGCCAGAATGCTTCTGAGATGTGAGAATGATGAGACTTCTTCTTCCTGACTTTGGTCATGTTGTCAGTAGAGGCAAGTCCTTGGAGAAGGATACCATGTTTTGTAAAGTAGAGCATTTGCAAAAAAGGGGAAGACTCTCAAAGAGACCGATTGACATAATGGCGGCAACAGTGGGCTCAAGCATATCAAGGATTGTGAGAATGTCACGGGAGTGGGCAGTGCTTCATTCTGTTGTACATTGGTTTGCTATGAGTCAGAGCAGACTTGATGGCATACAGCAACATCAACAAACCACTGAGAATCATGGGCCACTCCAATTGACAGAAAGTTTTGGAGGATACAATTTAATCCATGACATTCCACCCCTTGGCCCCCAGAAATTCATGTGGTTGTCACATGCAAAACAATTTCACCCCATCATATCATCCCAAAAGTCTTAACTTTAAGTTCAAAATTCATCCTGAGGGAAAATTCCTCTTCTGTGAATTTAGGATACAAGTTATCTGTTTCCAACGTACAATGGTAGAACAGACAAAATTTAACCATTTCCATTACAAATGGGAGAAATTAGAAAGAAAGAAGAGATAATGGTATCAAGCAAGCCAAAAAAAAAAAAAAAAAGTCCAGCAGAACAATTTATATTAGCTCTCAAGCCTGAAAAATAATCCTTTGTTTTCTGAGACCATTGAGGCACTGGACCTTTTTTTCAGGACTCGTAGTGTTGTTCATGTTCTCTGGATTCTGGGTGGAGGCCATTCAACCTTGGGCTTCAGTTCTGCCTTCCAGGTCTACGGGAACAGGAAATCAGTTTCCTAGACTTTGGATGGTCCCATTCTTCTAATCTATCCGAGTGGTGATCTCACCTCCTAGGTCTGGCAGGCCCATTCTTCTGCTCCCTTGGGAATGGCAACCCTGCCCCCTCAACTTTAGGCAGCAGATCTGGCCCCATCCCACTGGCATTCATGAACAGCAGCCCCACACTCCAGAACAAAGTTGGTGAAGATCTGACTCTTTGAAATCTAACTGTGGTTGCTGTGGCAGTTCTATCCTTCAAAACCCTAGAGGTCATGGTCCTACTCTGAAACCATGGCAGCTCTCCTTCCCATCTTCCTTGTCTCTTAAGCTTCTGCTTCCTGTTTGCTTGGTCTCTCAAAGAGGCCATTTTGGCCTCTGTCTCATTCCAACTAGTGTTTCAAAGCTCTGCAGCTCTACCAATTAGTGCCCTAATCCAACCCAATCCACCAGGAAGCCTCCTGCCTGAAGCTCATTGGGCTTGGAAGCCCACTGCTCTGCCTCCTGCTCTTCTCTTTGTTCTGCTTCCTCCACTGCCACTATCTATCTGACAGCTCTCTGCTGTTACAACTCCATTCATTGTTTTCTGAGTCCTCACCAGAATTGTCTTTTAGAGCCATATTTCCACACAAACAGTCTCTTCAAGGCAGCCTAGACCTTTACTATTGTTGTTGCTGTTAGGTGCCATCCAGTGAGCTCTGACTTATAGCAACCCTAAGTACAATGGAACAAAACACCACCTAGTCGTGTACCATCCTCACAATCTTTGCTAAACCTGAGCCCATCGTTACAGCCACTGTGTCAATCCATCTCATTGAGGGTCTTCCACTTAGGTACCTTAAAACTTTTCCAGCCTCTATTCATTACTCAATTCTAAAACCCCTTCAACATTTCAGATATCTGTTGGAGCAGTACCCACACTCTTTCAGTACCAAATTCTGTATTGTCTATCTAGTGCTGCTATAACAGAAACACTACAAATGGATAACATTAACAAACAGAAACTTATTGTATCAAAATTTAGGAGGCTAGAAGTCTGAATTCAGAGTGTCAGCTCTACAGGAAGACTTTCTCTCTGTGTCTCTTGATCCTAGGACGATCCCAACACAGGGACCCTGGGTCCAATGGAAACACTCCACTCCAGTTTCTTTCCCGGTGGTAGTAGTGCACTTTGTCTCTGCTTCCTTCTCTCTCCTTTTACCTTCTGTAAGATAAAAGGCATTGTAGGCCATATGCTAGGGAAACTCCCCTTACATTGGATCAGAGCTGTGATGGGAATAAGGGTGTTACATCCCACACTTAATCCTCTTAGACCTGATCAGCTTCTCACATCAGATCACATCATGGGGTGTCATTATATATCTGCCATATTACGTTATTACATAACTGCTAAACCACTGAGACTCATGGCCCAGACAAGTTGACACAGATTTTTGGGGAACACAATTCAATCCATGACATTAACCACATCAACAAATGAGGAGTGTTTATACATATGCTCACATAGAAAAAATACGTGATCTTCCCAAGGAAATGAAGTTAGTAATTTGTGAGTAAAGATTTACAGTGAGATTCACCTAGTTCCAAAGAAAGCAACGTTAAGGTCTATTACCTGGAGTAGTTAAAAAGACAGGAATAGAACTGGATTTCCTGACTCCCAGTCACATTCTCTTTCTAGTAAACTATAATGGAATATGAGTCAGGTCCGACTCGATGGCCCATAACAACAAAACAACATGATGGACTTCAGTATTCTAACCTGTAATAGTAATGCAATTTGAATTTACTTTCCATGGTCACTAATTTTATATAACCATGAGAAATTAACACAGTTAATCAGCTTGTTATATAAGAAATGTCTTGAAACCAGTGATCATATGTTTATAAGAAATAATTTCATGGAATAAAAGAAAAGAAAATACTCTGGATTTGATATATTTCAGAATGTTGAAAATCCTAAAGTTGGCCAGGCTTGATCAGTTTTCTGGGACAAATATAAAAGGGTCTGTCATCCCATAAAGTCCATGATTTTCTTTCTATGAGTCGTAGAGACCCTGAGAAGTATGTGAACCAAACCTTCTGGCTATAGCTTCAGTCATCTTTATATGATTCTTCACCTGCTTTCTTAAGTTGGTAGAGTAAAATAAGCTGGTAGACAAAAGTATTACTAGCTAAATGGAAGAATGGATTAAAGAAAACTTACTTTCTCTAGAAAAAAAATTCAAATTTGTATATTTATAGTTAATTAAATATTTTATTTGTTCTTTTCTTCTTGAGGGACTAAGTAATGAGTCAATACAACAATAACTTTAACCTAGGGAGAAACTGGATTTTTTAAATAGTAATTTGGTGAGTGATGGGCTATAGAAAGTTATCCCTGAGTCTCTTTTTATAGCAATATGATGTTTTAACTAGAATATAAGATTGTTGTTGTTGTTATGTGCCGTCGAGTCGGCCCCGACTCATATATAAGATTAGACTTTAGAATATAATATACTTA